TGCTAGTGACACCCCTGCTTTTCATTGGGGGGATGTTGCATCATCTGCCAAGTCTTTTGCTTTCGTAGTGAGTGATTTTCGTGTGCAAGTTCGGTACTAGTCCCTCTAGGATTTTCCAGGTGTATATAATCATGTATCTCTCCCTCCTGCGTTCCAGGGAATACAGGTTTAGGAACCTCAAGCGCTCCCAGTAATTGAGGTGTTTTATCTCCGTTTTATCTCCGAAATATTAATCTCAATCTTAAAATAATGAATCCTGTGATACTCCAATACTGAAACTATGTACTGTGCCAAAACAAAAGCATTCACATTGCTAAACTCACAAACTAGTATTTAGTCACTTAGCCATAATACCAACTTACCTCATAATTTGTAATATTTTACAATTAAGAATAAAACTAAGTCTGCCCGAAATGCCTAGCCATGCTAAGCGTTCTAGTGGTACACTCTGTAATCACAATTTTACTACATGTAAACCAAACAATAACCAAATTTCTGTAAAATCAACATTGTAATCCTTATAGAGAATAAACTTTGAATTTGAATTTGAAAGTTATGCGCGCCGTGAAGGTTCTCTGTACATTTTCTAGGTCAGCAATTTCACCTGCCTTGAAAGGTGCTGTTAGTGTGGCAGCAATATTCCAGCCTAGATAGAACAAGTGACCTGAAGAGTGTCATCATGGGCTTGGCCTCCCTAGTTTTGAAGGTTCTCATTATCCATCCTGTCATTTTTCTAGCAGATGCGATTGATACAATGTTATGGTCCTTGAAGGTGAGATCCTCCGACATGATCACTCCCAGGTCTTTGACGGTGTTTCGCTCTATTTTGTGGCCAGAATTTGTTTTGTACTCTGATGAAGATTTAATTTCCTCGTGTTTACCATATCTGAGTAATTGAAATTTCTCATCGTTGAACTTCATATTGTTTTTCTGCAGCCCACTGAAAGATTTGGTTGATGTCCGCCTGGAGCCTTGCAGTGTCTGCAATGGAAGACACTGTCATGCAGATTCGGGTGTCATCTGCAAAGGAAGACACGGTGCTGTGGCTGACATCCTTGTCTATGTCGGATATGAGGATGAGGAACAAGATGGGAGCGAGTACTGTGCCTTGTGGAACAGAGCTTTTTCACCGTAGCTGCCTCGGACTTTACTCTGTGACGACTACTCTCTGTGTTCTGTTAGTGAGGAAATTATAGATCCATCGACCGACTTTTCCTGTTATTCCTTTAGCACGCATTTTGTGCGCTATTACGCCATGGTCACACTTGTCGAAGGTTTTTGCAAAGTCTGTATATATTACATCTGCATTCTTTTTGTCTTCTAGTGCATCTAGGACCTTGTCATAGTGATCCAATAGTTGAGACAGACAGGAGCGACCTGTTCTAAACCCATGTTGCCCTGGGTTGTGTAACTGATGGGTTTCTAGATGGGTGGTGATCTTGCTTCTTAGGACCCTTTCAAAGATTTTTATATGGGATATTAGTGCTATCGGTCTGTAGTTCTTTGCTGTTGCTTTACTGCCCCCTTTGTGGAGTGGGGCTATGTCTGTTGTTTTTAGTAACTGTGGGACGACCCCCGTGTCCATGCTCCCTCTCCATAGGATGGAAAAGGCTCGTGATAGGGGCTTCTTGCAGTTCTTGATGAACACGGAGTTCCATGAGTCTGGCCCTGGGGCAGAGTGCATGGGCATGTCATTTATCGCCTGTTCGAAGTCATTTGGCGTCAGGATAACATTGGATAGGCTTGTGTTAACCAAATTCTGTGGCTCTCATAAAAAATTCATTTTGATCTTCGACTCTCAGTCTGGCTAGCTGCCTGCTAAAAACTGAGTCATATTGGGACTTGAGTAGCTCACTCATTTCCTTGCTGTCATCCGTGTAGGACCCATCTTTTTTAAGTGGGGCCCAATACTGTACTTTGTTTCTCGACTTTGTTTTGGCATAGGAAAAAGAAATACTTTGGGTTTCTTTCGATTTCATTTATGGCTTTTAGTTCTTCCCGCGATTCCTGGCTCCTATAAGATTCCTTTAGCTTAAGTTCGATGCTTGCTATTTCTCTGACCAGTGTCCCCCCTACGCATTTCAGATATATTGACCTCTTTTAGGGCCCCTCTGGGTTATTCTTTTTCTGTCACCTGTAAAGGGAGGGGCCTGTCTCTTTCTTTTTACATATACTCCTCCTTTTTTTTTAGAGGAATAAGCCTTGTGCATACATCGAGTGCCACCGAGTTAATCTGTTCTAGGCATAAGTTGGGGTCTGTGTTGCTTAGTATATCTTCCCAGCTTATATAGGTTAGGACTTGGTTTACTTGGTCCCACTTTATGTTTTTGTTATTGAAGTTGAATTTGGTGAATGGTCCCTCGTGACTAGTCTCATTATGTCGGTCTGGGGCTCCACGCATACATGTCTGAACCTCAATTATGTTGTGATCTGAGTATATTGTTTTTGATATGTTGACATTTCTTATCAGATCATCATTGTTAGTGAAGATGAGGTCTAGTGTAATCTCCAGTCTAGTAGGCTCTATTAATTGCTGGTTTAAATTGAATTTTGTGCAGAGATTTAAAAGCTCGTGTGAGTGTGAGTTTTCATCAGAGCTGCCTCCTTGTGTTATTACTGCAACAATATTATTTGCTATATTCCTCCATTTTAGGTGCCTTAAGTTGAAATCCCCCAGGAGCAAGATGTTGGGTGCAGGAGCTGGAAGATTTTCCAGACAGTGGTCAATTTTTAACAGCTGTTCCTGGAATTGCTGGGATGTTGCATCCGGAGGCTTGTAGACTACCACAATGACTAGGTTTTGGTTCTCGACCTTTACTGCTAAAACTTCCACTACATCATTTGAGGCATTAAGCAGTTCTGTGCAAACAAGTGACTCTGCAATGTACAGGCCAACCCCCCCCCCTTTTTGCCTGTTCACTCTGTCACATCTGTATAGGTTGTAACCTGGGATCCATATTTCGTTGTCCAAGTGATCCTTTATGTGGGTCTCAGTGAAAGCCGCGAACATTGCCTTTGCCTCTGCAAGCAGTCCACGGATGAAAGGTATTTTGTTGTTTGTTGCTGGCTTTAGACCCTGTATATTTGCAAAGAAGAATGTTATCGGACTGGTGGTATTGTTGGTACTGGGGAATGGATTTTTTTTCCGGCATTAGTATCTGTATCTGTTGGTTTGGAGTGGAGGCCATCGACTGTGGTTCCACTCCAGGAATGACTGGATTTGGTGTATGATTTCTGCCATTTCCTGCCAGTTTTTTTTCCTTCCTAGCCCTAACATCTCACATTATAAAAGTCTTTGAAAGAGTGACGAGACACCAATTATAAATGTTTTGTAACACAATCTGCACAACACAAACCAGCATGGATTTAAAGCCTGGAGATCTTTCTTGCCACAACTGCTAACCGCCGTCACAGAATTAAGGAAGTGTTGGAAAAAAAAAATGTGATATACATTTATTTTGCATAAACATTTGACAAACGTAATAATGGGGCGATTACATGCAAGATGATGACTATAGGCATAATGAGGAGGGGAGGTAGATGAATTTTCATATTTTTGACAAATAGAACACAGTAGTAGTAAACAGAAAATCCAGCATTAGTCAGATAAAAAGCTCAGTACCCTAAGACACGGTCCTGGAGCCTCTAGTGTTTAATATCCTCATTTCAGTCATAGATAGAAACACCCGCCATAATTTTGTATCATTTGTGTTTCACACCAAAATAAGCATGAAAGTCACATCGATAAAAGACACGGAAAAATTCCATGAAGATATAAGCAGGGTTTTCCAGTGGGCAGTGGAGAATAACATGACGTTCAATGGTGATAAGTTCTAGTTGCTTAGATATGAAAAGAATGAACAATTCCAAAGGTCACTGCATGCAAAATCCAAGAGGATCAGTAAATAATACGAAAGGATTAAGTGATAGACCTGGGAGTAATGTCGCCTGATCTGTCTTTGAAGGTACATGGTAATGTCACGACAGCCGGGACTGTGATGGGGTGAATAATGAAAACTTTCAAGACAAGGGAAAAATAATGCTAATGGTGACACTTTTCAGATCACTTGTGCTTTCTTCATTATTGTTCGGGGTTGACTGCCCCATTCAGGGCAGAGGAGATATTAGAGCTGGAACATACAGAGACCATTTATGGCCTGCAAAGATTCTGTAAAGCATTTAAATTACTGGGAACACTTCAGGGTCCTAAATATGTATTCGCTGGAGCGGAGGTGAGAGAAATACACGAAAATATATACGTGGAAAGTACCTGAGGGCTTATTCCCAAATTTACATGCTCATGACATACTGGTGAAAGGAAGATAGGAGGAAGTGTAAAATAAACCCAGTGAAAAGCAGGGGTGTCGTGGGCACAGTAAGAGAACATTTTATCAACATAAATGTGCCCAGACTATTCAATATCTTACCAGACGATATCTTAAACACTACTGGGAAAAGTATAGAAGTCTTCAAGAGTACACTGAACAAGCATCTTCACTGTTGGATCAACTAGGTTGTGATGGATATGTGGGCCAGCAGGCTGCACGCAGCAACAGCCTGGTTGACCAGGCTAGCACCAGACAAATCTGGCTCAGGGCCGGGCTCCGGGAGTAGAAAAACTGAAAACTCATCAAAGGGTACTAGTGAATAAACATAATCCTGATATACCTGTTATCAGACTGAAGATTTTTTTTGCTCTCTCAGCCCAGTCTGAGGGTAGACTTACTTATTGTCGGGACGATGAGGAGGCACTTGTACCTCCTCCCATGACAGACATTGGTCTGAGACACTCCCATGACAGGGAGCCAAGGCCGGGCCACCTCTTGGAAAAGACCCGGGCCGGGCGATTATACCGGCGAATCTACTACCAATCTATCCTTATTATCTGTTTGGTCAGCCAGGCTGTTGCTATCAGAAACCCGCAAACCTACATGGCCATCACAACCTGGTTGACCTGGAACTTGTAGCAGGGACTGAAACAATAAAAATCCAACACATTTCAAGATTTATTGGTAGATCATTCGAATTTCAGTCTGAGAGTTATGGTAATTCTGCCAGGCTGCTTCTCAAAAATAATTACAGTGTCATTAAATGCATAACACAACTAGGAATGTAATATAATAGGCAAACATTTTTTTTCAGATCTTTGAAGTGAAATATTTTATCAAATAGATTGCTAAATACGTGGAATAGATTATCAGAGAAAGCAACTGAGTATAAAATATATATAAGATGCATTCAAAAAATAAAATGTCCGCATCGATGCCCTACATTGTTTGCACCTCATTCAGCCATAATCAAAATAAGAAGCTTCTTAAGCCCAAAGGCCCGTTTTTTTTTTTTTCAGTTCTTGTTGAACTTTTACAAGATACATGTTTGTGTAGCAGTGACGTGCTCGGTTTTAGCGCTTGTTTTGAGTGTAATAATGTGTTAAGTTATCCTAGGTAATTTGCATATATGTTACTATGTAAGATAATTTGTGTAACAGTATTAAGAGGCGCGTGAGTTTCCCTGTCTCCTAATATCATTTATTTTTCAGTTATAATCTATCTTGCTGTGGGCGGTAAGTAGGTACCTGGGTGTTTGTTGAGTGTTGTGGGCGGTAAGTAGGTACCTGGGTGTTTGTTGAGTGTTGTGGGCGGTAATTAGGTACCTGGGTGTTTGTCGGCTGTTGTGAGCAGTAAGTAGGCACCTGGGTATTTGTCGACTGTTGTGGGCGGTAAGTAGGTACCTGGGTATTTGTTGACTGTTGTGGGCGGTAAGTAGGTACCTGGGTATTTGATGACTGTTGTGGGCAGCAAGTAGGAACCTAGGTGTTTGTTGAGTGTTGTGGACAGCAAGTAGATTCCCGGATGTTTGTTGAGTATTGTGGGCAGAAAGTAGGAACCTAGGTGTTTGTTGAGTGTTGTGGGCAGCAAGTAGATACCCGGGTGTTTGTTGAGTGTTGTAGGCAGTAAGTAGATACCCGGGTGTTTGTTGAGTGTTGTGGGCAGAAAGTAGGAACCTAGGTGTTTGTTGAGTGTAGTGGGCAGCAAGTAGATACCCGGGTGTTTGTTGAGTGTTGTAGGCAGTAAGTAGATACCCGGGTGTTTGTTGAGTGTTGTGGGCAGTAAGCGTGTACCTGGGTGTTCGTTGACTTGCGGTTGGTATACTGGGGTTGAGGTATAATGTTTGGTCTGGCATTTTTAATGATCTGAAGTTGGACAACAGTTTTTAACCTGTCAAGTGAATTTGTGGAGAACAATCGACTGATTTTCCTTATCTATCCTTCAGTGAGGGGCTCTTGATTCAAGAAACTGGATTTATCCTCCCATTTGTTGCATCTAATCTGATTGTTTGCCGTTTTCCACGCACTATATGACCCCTGTGTGTTTAATGCTCTCCCGATTAAAAAAACTTCCCTTCAAGGGAGAAGGGGGATGCATTGATCGAAGGAAGGGGGGTTATCATCTCCTTTCTTGGACCAAACATAAAAACATAAGAATGGAGGAACACTGTAGAAGGCCTACTGGCCTTCTACAGAAGGCCAAGAATTTACTCCCTTACCCACGCATTATCTATTCCCATAGTGTTGTACGACTCCAACGGATTTAGCGCTTCCTTATGAACATAACCTTATCTCTTACTCTTGAACAGTTTGGGTGCCTTGGGTTTGGGTGCGGGAGTGGTCTTGGGCGTGGGCACCTTAGTCTTGGGCGTGGGCGTGGGTGCTGGGACGGGCGCGTTGCTGTAGGAGGCATAACCACCGTCGAAGCTGAGGGCGCGGCGCTCATCCTCCTCAGGAGAGCTTGGGGGCGTGGGAGGGCGCGTAGGGCGGCTCCTGCCAGGGCAGAACACTAGGTTTAAGTATATACGTGAATTAAACAAGAATACCTTGATACTGGTGAAGGGTTTTGTAGCCAAGGAATTGGAGGTACTCTCCCCTTCCTTGGATCAACCCTCATTATTATTATTATAATCAAGGGGGTAGCGCTAAACCCGGAGGATTATACAGCGCCTGGGGGGGGGATGTGGAAGGCATTCAGGCTTAATTCGGGGAACTGGAGTACAGATCCAATTCCCTAAATCAAATCAACCCTCATTACCTTCCCTTACCCAGGTGCTGTATGACTCCTACGGGTTTAACACTTTCCTCTGAATAAAGGGTCGTAGCCTCTGGTGTAAACTGTTGCACTCTTAACTTCTGAAATACCAAACCTAAACAAATAATTTTAGGAAATGTTGACGTATTAGCCTAATAAAAGCAGCCTATGGCACCATTCAACAGTTGTATTAGGATATTACTATAATTTAGGCCTATGGACATAGGCCTTAATTAATAAACTCTTAACTGATAGACTACATGTAGACCTGAGAATAATTCAGGCTACTGGCTTAAAACCTTCTGAGGTTGGGGAGGGTTCATTGATGGCACTGAGGGCACTAGGACTCTTGATCCAACGAACTGGAGCTACCTTACTATTTCCCAAGGACACATCAGAAAACGTTTCGCTCCTGGGACCTCCGCCACTAATATCTCCTAGTGTTGCTTACCTGGTTTTTTAACCAACTTGTCTGTATTTATTACTAAGGTTTATGCCAGGTTCCTTGACGCTGGTGAGGGGCTCTTGATCTGGGGAATTGGATCTGTGCTCCAGTTTCCTGAATTAAGCCTGAATGCCTCCCCCCAGACGCTGTATAACTCCTACGGGTTTAGCGCTCCATATTACTACTGCTTCCCAAGCTATGTTATGGCCAAGAATTGTAGACCCCTTCGAGTTTAGCGCTTAATTTGGTTATATTATTATTCCATGAATATATTATTATTATTATAATTAAAAGGAAGCGCTAAACCTACCTGGGTCATACGGCGCTCCATGATTATAATAATTAATAAGATCAAAATAACATTATATTATTATTATTATTATTATTATTATTATTATTATTATTATTGTTAACTACTATCATCGCTGTATGACCCTTACTGGTTTAGCGCCTGGTTATGATTATATTAATAATAATATTAACTACTGTAGTGAATGATAACTACTGTAGTTCTTTGATGTCAGTGAGGGGCTCTTGATCCAAGGAATTGGACTTGCTCTCCCCTTACATTGAACCTAATTGCCTCCCAGGCACTATAACGACCCTTACGGGTTTAGTGCTTCCCCATAATTATAATAATGTACTGAATGATTCCTATACAGCTGAACTTTTTCTAAATTTATTATTTTATTAACGTATCGGCCGTCTGCAACCAGGGTAGTGTGGCCACCAGGGTAGTGTGGCCACCAGGGTAGTGTGGCCACCAGGGTAGTGTGGCCACCAGGGTAGTGTGGCCACCAGGGTAGTGTGGCCACCAGGGTAGTGTGGCCACCAGGGTAGTGTGGCCACCAGGGCAGGGTGGCCACCAGGGTAGTGTGGCCACCAGGGTAATGTGGCCACCAGGGCAGGGTGGCCACCAGGGTAGTGTGGCCACCAGGGTAGTGTGGCCACCAGGGCAGGGTGGCCACCAGGGTAGTGTGGCCACCAGGGTAGTGTGGCCACCAGGCCAGGGTGGCCCGAAAAAGAAAAACTGATCATTCACTCCATCACTGTCTTGCCAGAGGGGTTTTACACTACAGTTATAAAACTGTAACATTAACACCCGTCCTTCAGAGTGCAGACATTGTACTTCCCATCTCCAGGACTCAAGTCCAGCCTACCGGTACTAAAAATCAGTATATGGTAGACCAAGGTCAGAATATTACTGTGGTGTTCGTGAAGAACTTTTTGTGTAAAAATAACATTGGTTTTGACCTTTCCTTCGTGGGATTAAACCTAATTGTCTCCTGTTCTCCAGGCTCAGTGGTGCCGCTACGGGTTTAGCGCTTCCCCAGGAATAAGATAATTACTGTGAGGTTTGAGATCGCTGGCGACGCTGTCGTTCCAACTGTCGTGGGGTGAGGTGCGATCCATGGTAAGAACGCATCGACCTCAGAAACGACACCACACACCCCATGAGTCCACAGGTCCACCACCAGCGATCCACCCCTGCAAGTGCTCCACCCCTCTCTTGGGGCCCGGCAGTGCTGCTTCTGTTGGGGGTAGGAGCACAGTGGCTCCTGGGGAAGGGTGCGGAGGTTGGGAAGTGCCGCTTCTGGAGCAGGAGACGGACGACTGCAGGAGTTCACCCTCCAGGACGGTGCTGAAGACCTGCTGGAAAATGACTCGGGTTAAAAAGGCTAGATTGCATTCCACGATCCTAGGAGAATGTAATTAAAAATGATTTCATTTCAGATAATATCTTGTTACAAACACGCACGCACACAGACAGGAACTGTGACTCGACCTCTGCAACCATAATAGGTGAGTACACACACACACACACACACATACACAGGTACGATAAGAGAGTTGTGGGCAACTTCGTTCAACTGTTTTATTTTTCACCCGATTTCTTTTATTTTTGAGGTACGTTTTTTAGAAGTGCATATGTAAATTAATATGACAAAGTTTCAGTAAGATTGGCCAACAAACAACAGAGAGAAACAAAAATATTTACTGATATTGACTGATTTTGACATATGGCAGCAAAACATGACAAACTGGCACTATGAGTGACACTTCCGACAATCCCCACTGTTAGAATACGTCTAACACGAATTTTTGGTGGTAGCAATTCTTCAAATATACCTTATTATCATGGTGAAAAAAATACATTTGGTACACTTTTTGACATTCACCAAAATATCTGCATTTTTACCCCCGCACAAAATAAAAAATATTTGAGATATTCCAAAAAGGTCTCCATTAGATATTCAAACACACTTTGTTTTATATTGTCCGTGAAAATCATTTCAATCCAATCATTAATAATATCGCTTTGTTAAGCAATAGGCCAAAATCTTACTTTCGAGATATTCGGGTAAACGAGCGGACTACCTAATTGCGTCAAGAGATTAAAAAAAAATAACGAAAATCGCACTACTTTGGGCTTTTTTAATGCAATGTAAGTGATTTCTTATTGTTTCCCATTTATAGTACATCGTTTTCTTTAGTGCTACCAGAGGTAACATAGAAAACTCATCTTTCATAGTGAGGAACTGCAGTAATCATTTCGTCATAATACTTTGGCTTGCTTTTTTATGCGTTTATCCAAGTTATCTTATGCATACTATCATTACTGAATAAATGATACAGGCAGAAAAAGGATATTAGTAATAATAGCGTCAGAATAAAAGACATCTTGTGAGTGGTGATCAGACTGTTGTTATTAGCAACTGGATGTTGCACCATCATGCAAGCTCCGCCCACCTCTGCTATAAGCTCCTCCCACATTGTAATGATGTTAAGTGGTAAATTTAGTGTATTAGAAAGAAAAATAGTAACGTTCAGCGAAGAGGCGGGGCCAGGAGTTGTGAATCGACCCCTGACGCCATAGGCAAGTATGCACGGCGCTCGCGCACACACACACCAGGAGCTGTGGCTCGACCCCTGCAACCACAAATAGTTCAGTACACACACACACCTGGAACGGAACAAGATTATAAACGACAACCAGCATGGATTCATGGAAGGCAAATCCTGTGTCACAAACCTTCTGGAGTTTTATGACAAGGTAACAAGTAACACGAGAGAGAGAGGGGTGGGTTGATTACATTTTCCTGGACTGAAGGAAGGCCTTCGACACAGTTCCTCACAAGAGATTAGTGCAGAAGCTGGAGGATCAGGCGCGTATAACAGGAAGGGCACTGAAATGGATCAGAGAATACCTAACAGGGAAGCAACAACGAGTCATGATACGTGACGAGGTATCACAGTGGGCACCTGTGACGAGCGGGGTCCTACAGGGGTAAGTCCTAGGACCAGTGCTATTTTTGATATATGTGAATGAAATGATGGAAGGGATAGACTCTGAAGTGTCCTTGTTCATTAACTTGTGAAGTTAATGAGAAGAATTAAATCAGATGAGGATCAGGCAGGACTACAAAGAGACCTGGACAGGCTGGACACGTGGTCCAGCAATTGGCTCCTTGAATTCAACCCTGCCAAATGCAAAGTCATGAAGATTGGGGAAGGGCAAAGAAGACCGCAAACGGAGTATAGGCTAGGTGGACAAAGATTGCAAACCTCACTCAAGGAGAAAAATCTTGGGGTGACCATAACACCGAGCATGTCTCCGGAGGTACACATCAACAAGATAACTGCTGCAGCATATGGGCGCCTGGCAAACCTGATATACCTTAGAAAGGAATCGTTAGGACACTGTACACTGTGTACGTCAGGCCCATACTGGAGTATGCAGCACCAGTTCGGAACCCACACCTGGTCAAGCACGTCAAGAAGTTAGAGAAAGTACAAAAGTTTGCAACAAGACTAGTTCCTGAGCTCAGGGGAATGTCCTACGATGAAAGGTTGAGGGAAATCGGACTGACGACATTGGAGGACGATAGGGTCAGGGAAGACATGATAACGACATGCAAAATATTGCTTGGAATAGATAAAGTGGACAGAAACAGGATGTTCCAGAGATGGGACACAAACAAGGGGTCACAATTGGAAGCTGAAGACTCAGACGAGTCATAGGGATGTTAGGAATTATTTCTTCAGTCATAGAGTCGTCAGGAAGTGTAATAGCCTAACTTGTGATGCAGTGGAGGCAGGAACCATACATAGCTTTAAGACGAGGTATGACAAAGCTCTGGAAGCAGAGAGAGGACCTAGTAGCGATCAGTGAAGAGGCGGGGCCAGGAGCTGTGTCTCGACCCCTGTAACCACAATTAGGTGAGTACACACACACACACAGAAGGGCAAACACACCACACAGAATCTCCCACCAAAAGACTCCAACCGCGACGTTCCCAACGCAACTGAGCAACCTATACTACAACCCACTCACTGTTCCCTCTGCCACCAACCCCCATATCAAAAACCTCACCCCAACAGCTGTCCCTTATGGGCATTCTGACCCCACCCCCATCATCACAAACCCCACCTACACCACAGCCCCATATAGGCCCCCACCAAGGCTCTCGCTCCCCCAACCCCCAATATTCTTGAATGACCACAATGATAAAAAAAGAAACTGAAAGTTTGGTACACAAACGCGGATGGAATTAACGAATAACATGAGGAGTGGAATGAAAGAATCAGGGGAAAAACCCCCAGACATCATAGCAGTCACAAAAAACCAAAACTCGCTGAGACAAAACAGACACAATTTTCCCCAACGGGATATCAGATCTGAGGAAAGATAGAAGGATAGAGGGGAGGGGGGGTTTTGCACTGCTCATAAAACACCGATGGGGATTTGAGGAAATGGAAGGCATGGACATGATTGGAGAAAGAGACTACATTGTAGGTAAAATTCAGTCCGGAGAACATAAAGTAGTCATTGGAGTGAGGGGTATAACCCCCCACAGAACTGCAGGGGGCCCAAAGAGAGAAGTACGAAGAAAACAACAGGGTGATGGGGGGACACACTGGCTGAGGTGGCAAGAAGAGCTCACTCGAGCAAGCAAAGTTACTGGAATGGGCGTTTTTCAACCACAGGGAGATCGACTGGGAAAACATGGAGCCACATGGGGGTCCCGAAAACATGGAGAGCCAAAGATATGGATGTGGTATTTTGAAAACCTCATGCACAACATGTCAGGGACACAACCAGAGAGAGAGGGGAGAATGAGCCGCAAGACTGGATTTTGTGTTCACCCTGAGCATCAGACATTGGGGGACATCACTTACGAGAGGCCCCTTGGAGCTAGCGATCACGTGGTTCTGAGTTTTGATTATAAAGTAGAGTTACAAGTGGAGAAGGTAACGGGAACGAAGGGGACAGGCCAAACAAAAAAGGGGGGACTACACAGGTATGAGAAACTTCCTGCAGGAGGTTCAGTGGGACAGAAAAAATGGTAGGAAATCATAAACGAGATGATGGAATATGTGGCAACAAAGTGCAAAGGGGAAGAGGAAAGGTTTGTTCCCAAGGAAAACAGAATAATAGGAAGACCAAAACGAGTCCTTGGTTTACCGAAGGTGTACGGAGGCAAAAACTAAGTGCAACAGAGAAAGGAAAAGGTACAGAGGCATAGGACCCAGAAAAACAAGGAGATTAGTAGAAGAGCCAGAAACGAGTATGCACAGATAAGGAGGGGGCCCAGCGACGTATGAAAACGACATAGCATCGAAAGTCAAATCTGACCCGAAACTGCTGTATAGCCACATTAGGAGGAAGGACACAATCAAGGACCCGGTGATAAGGCTGAGGAAAGAAGTGGAGAAAAATCACAAGAACGATCAAGAGGGATGTGAGGAGCTCAACACGAGATTTAAGGAAGTATTTACAGTAGAGACAGGAAGGACTCTGGGGGGGCAGACCCCGATGGGGACACCAGCAAGGAATACACCAACAAGGTTGGACGACATACATACAGATGAGGAGGAGGGGAAGAAACTGCTAAGGGACATCGATACCTCAAAGCAATGGGACTGGACAAATCTCCCCGTGGGTCCTTAGAGAGGGGGCAGATAGTTGTGCGTGCCACTTACGACAATCTTCAACACGTCCCTGGAAACAGGGCAACTACCTGAGGTATGGGAGACGGCAAATGTAGTTCCCATTTTTAAAAAAGGAGACAGAAAAGAGGCACTAAACTATAGACCTGGTCATTGACGTGTATAGTATGCAAAATTAGGAGAAGATTACAGGAAAGGGGAGTGGGGAGCACCTGGAACGGAACAAGAGTATAAATGCCAACCAGCACGGATTCACGGAAGGCAAATCCTGTGTCACAAAAACCCTTTTGAAGTTTTATGAAAAAAATAACAGAAGTAAGACCGAGAGAGAGGGTGTGGTTGATTGCATCTTCTTGGACTGCAAGAAGGCCTTTGACACAGTTCCTCACAAGGATTTTAGTGCAGAAGCTAGAGCATCAGGTGCATATAACCCGGAAGGGCACGCAATGGATCAAGAATACCTGACAGGGAGGCAACAACGAGTCAAAGGTACATAATGATGTATCACAGTGGGCCCTGTGACGAGCGGGGTCCCCCAGGGGTTGGTCCTAGGACCAGTGCTATTTTTGGTATATGTGAACGACATGATGGAAGGGTTAGACTCAGAAGTGTCCCTGTTGCAGATGATGTGAAGTTAATGAGGAGAATTAAATCTGATGAGGACCAGGCCCGGGCTTCAAAGAGACCTGGACAGACTGGACACCCGGTCCAGCAAATGCTTTTCGAATTTAATCCTGCCAAATCAAAGTCATGAAGATAGGGGAAGGGGACAGGAGACCACAGACAGAGTATAGGCTAGGTGGCCAAAAGACTGCAAACCTCACTCAAGGTAAAAGATCTTGGGGTGAGTATAACACCGAGCATGTCTCCCGGGAAACACACATAAATCAGATAACTGCTGCAGCATATGGGCGCCTGGCAAGCCTGAGAAACAGCATTCCGATACTTAGTAAGGAATCGTTTCAAGACACTGTACACCGTGTATATCAGGCCCTTACTGGAGTATGAGCACTGTTTGGAACACCGCCACTTGATAAAGCAAGTCAAAGAAAACTAGAGAAAGTACAAAGGTTTTGCGACAAGGTTAGTTCCGAGCTAAGGGGTATGTCCTATGAAGAAAGTTATGGGAAGAATCGGCCCCCCTGACGGATACTGGAGGGTCAGGAGGGGTCTAGGGGAGAATGATAACGACATATAAATACTGCGTGGAATAAGGCAAGGTGGCAAAGGACAGGATGTTCCAGGGAGGGGACACTGAAACTAGGAGGCACAATTGGAAGTTGAAGACAACAAATGAGATCAGAGAGATATTAGTGTAGTAGGTTGGTAGACAGCAACCACCCAGGGAAGTACTACCGTCCTGTCACAGACTGATTTGTATAACAAAAACCTGTACTGTTTGCTGATGGTTGGATTGCTGGTTCTTTTTCTGTCTCATATACTCACGCTAGATTAAAGGGATATCTTGCTACTCTACTTACACTTTGGGTCTCACACTTCACAGGACACGCACATGCATATATATATACATACATCTAGGTTTTTTCTCCCTTTTTCTAAATAGCTCTTGTTCTTCTTTATTTCTTTTTGTCCATGGGGAATGTGGATAAGAATCCTTTCTCCGTAAGCCTTGGTGTCGTATGAGGGCGACTAAAATGCCCCGTCGGGGGGGGCAGCAATTGGGCTAGTAAACCCTTCTCCTGTAGACATTACTAAAAAGAGAAGAAGAAAAAAGCTTTTATAAAATGGCGATGCTGTAATGTGCGTGGTGTAGTGCTCGGATGACAAGAAACAGATGATTGCTGATGTTATGAATGATAAAAAGAAGTTGGATGTTCTCGGCCTAAGCGATAACAAAGCTGATGGGGTAGGAGAGTTTCAGTGGGGGGAAATAAATGGGATTAAATTGGAGTATCTGAGTGAGTCTTAGAAGCAAAGGAAGGGGTAGCAGTCTGTATTGTTAAAGGATCAGTTATGGAGGAGAAAAGAGAATTTGAATGTGTAATAATTCAAGAATTAGGTGGATTAAAGTAAAGGTCGATGCGAGAAGTGGGCTATAATAGCGTTGTATGCACCTGGAGAAGAGAGGTAAGCAGAGGATGAGAGAGAGATTTTGGGAGATGTTAAGTGAATGTTTAGGAGCAATTTGAACACTTGTGAGAGAGTAATTGTGGTAGGGGACCTGATGCTTAAAAGTTAGGGAGAACTTTTAGAGAGGGTGTGTAGGTAAGTTTGGGGTTGCCAGGTGTAAATGGATAATGGCAGCCCTTTGATTTGAAACTTGTATAGAAAGGGGTTTGTTCTAGGTAATACATATTTTATAGGGGGGGGGAAAAAGAGGATAATTATGTATACAAGATATGATGTAGGGCGAAATGACTGTAGTTTGTTGGTTATGTATTGGTAGATTAATGACTGTTGAGAAACTTCCAGGTGTAACATGTTCTATTAGGGGGCCAACTGATATATAGATCACTTTCTAGTTATAGTACACTGAGAGTAAAGGTAGATGGGATACAAGGAGAATAGTGCATCAGGGAAGAGAGAGGTGAAAGGTTTATAAACTTAAAGAGGAGGCAGTTAGGGTAAGATATAAAACGGCTATTGGAGGTTAGATGGGCTAATGAGAGCATAGGCAATGGGGGTCGAAGAGGTATATGGGGTTAGGTTTCAAAAAATGTAGTGGTTAGAGTGTTCAGCAGAAGTTTGTGGTTACAGGGAAAGGGGTGCAGGAGGGCAAAGAGGACGCGATTGGTGGATGGAATGATGTGTAAAGAGGAGTAGTAAGGTGAGAAAAAAGTTAGCATATAGAGAAGTTTTTACAAAGTTGAAGTGATGCATGTGGGAAGAGTATATGGAGGAAAAAGAGTAGAGGTTAAGAGAGTGGTTGAAGCAATGTAAAAAGAGAGCATTGAGAGAGTGGGTGAGATTGTTATTCAACAAATTTTGTTGAAATAAGAAAAAGTTTTGGGAGTGAGTTTAACAAGTTAAGAAAGCCTAGAGAACAAATGGATTTGTCAGTTAAAAATAGGAGAGGAGAGTTATTTAAATGGAGAGTTAGGGTATTGGGAAGATGGAGGAATTTTTGAGGAGATTGTTAAATTGTTGTTGTTAGATAGGGTAGCTGTGATTTCGTGATATAGGGCAAGGAGAGGAATTTCATTTGTAGGAGTGTAGGAAAGAAGCCAGTTGTGAGTGTGGGGGAAGTTCGTGAGGCAGTAGGTAAAATGAAGAGGGTGTAAGGCAGCCGGGATTGATGGGATAAAGATAGAAGATGGTTAAAAAAGCAGGTGGGGATTTAGTTTTGGATGTGGTTGAGTGAATTATTTAATAAATGTCATGGATGAGGGTATGGTACCTAGGGATTCGGCAGAGAGACATGACATAGTTCCTTTGTTACAGGAAATTAGGGGATAAAAGAGTAGTGCAAAATTATAGGGAGATTGTAGAGTTAGTAGAGGTTATAATTGAAGGATTAAGTGTAAGACGGAAATATGGATAGCAGAATGACAGGCTTTGGAATGGTAGGGGTGGTGTGGACCAGGTGTTACAGAGTTGAAACATATATGTACAGTATTTTAGATAAAGGCTAACTAAGAGCGTCTTTGTGGCATTTATGGATTTGGAAAAGGGGTATGACAGGCTGTGGATCGAGGGGGGGCAATGTGGCAGATGTTGCAAGTTTATGGATGTTAGGGAGGGTGGTTACTGAAAGCAGTGAAGAGTTTTTACGAGGATAGTGTGGCTCAAGTTAGAGTATGTAGGAAAGAGGGAAATTTTTTCCAGTATTAAAAAGTAGGCCATAGACAAGGATGTGTGATGCACCGTGGTTGTTTAATATATTTTATTGATGGGGTTGTAAGAGATGTAAATGCCGAGGGTCTTGGCAAGAGGCGAGGAGTTTTAAAAGACTATAAGAATCATCACACAATGTGGGAGTTGTCACAGCTGTCTTTGCTGATGACACTGTGGACGCTTGTCTTGGGAGATTCTGAAGAGAAAGTTGCAGAGAATGGTGGATGTAATTTGGTTAGGGTGTGCAAAAGAAGAAAAATTAAAGGTGAATACAGAAAGAGTAAGGTTATGAGGGATATAAATAAGATTCAGGTGATGAAAGATTGGATTCTGATTGGTAGGGGAGAGTATGGAGGAGGTGAACGTATTTCAGATATTTTGGGAGTGGACGTTGTCAGGGATGGGTCTTATGAAAGATGAGGTGAAAGTCATAGATGATGAGGGATAAAAAGAGTGAGTGGTTGACTTAGAGTCTTGTGGAGCAAAGAACTTTGTCCTTTGGAGGCAAAGAGGGGAATGTATGAGAGTATAGTTTTACCTAACGCTCTTATTTTTTTATGGGTGTGAAGCCGTGGGTGATGTATGTTGCAGGAGGAGTAGGCTGGTGGCAGTGGAGATGTCATCGTCTGAGGGCAATGTGTGGTGTGTATATATATGCAGGAGAATTCTTAGTTTGGCAAGTTAGGGGGAGGTGCGGGGATTACCAAAACTGTTGTCCAGAGGGCTGAGGAAAGGGTTGTGAGGTGGTTCGGGACATGTAGAGAGAATGGATCGTAACAGTATGACTTCAAGAGTGTATCAGTTCTGTAGTGGATGGACGGCGGGTGGACGGGGTGGCCTAGAATGGTTGGAGGGCAAGGGTGGTTAAAAGTACGGTATTTTATGTGGAGGGGGCTTGGCGGGCTTATAGCATGGCATGCGGTGAGCGTGTTTGATAGGAGTGATGGAGACCAATGGTTTTTTAATACTTGACGTGCTGTTGGAAGTGTGAGCAAAGTAAATCATTTGTTGAGGGATTCAGGGAAACGGCAGGTCGGGGCTTGAGTCCTGGAGATGGGTATGTACTGTGCCTGACTCTGAAGGAGGAGGGTGTGTTATATGTGTTTGCAGTTTAAAAACTGTAGTGTAACGCACCCTTCTGGCAAGACAGTGGTTGGAGTGAATGATGGTTGAAAGTTTTTCTTTTTAGGCCAACCTGCCTTGGTGGGATCGGCCTAGTGTGATAATAAAAAAATTCTTCAGTCTTAGGTGGTAAGGCAGTGGTATAGCTAGAAAATGACGTAGTGGAGGCAGGACCATACACAGTTTTAAGACGAGGTTTGATAAAGCTCATGGAGCGGGGAGAGAGAGGGCCCTGTTCGCAAACCGGTGAAGATGGCGGGGCGAGGAGCTAAGACAATCGACCCTGCAACCACAAATAGGTGAGTACTAAATAGGTGAGTACACACACAACACACACACACACACACACCACACACACACACACACACACACACACACACACACACACACACACACACACACACACACACACACACACACACACGACCGTTCCTTCAGATACTCTACACAGTATTAGAAACTCTCAGACTTGTTGATGGATATATTATGGTCAGTACCAGTACTTACCTGCACACACCAACATCTTGTTGAAGGCTGTTGCATACCAGAATCGACACCCTCTAAGATTATAATCTCCAAAACTGGGAAAGAGACGAAAAAGTACAGGCACAAGAAGAAAGAACTAGATAGCAACCTCAGGATTTCCACATGGATGCCACTATCGTCGTGACGTCAGAAGAGACGAACGTTCGCTCGCCGTGCCCCAGCAACCAACCGGGACCCCGACATACCACTGATGTTTAGTCTTTTATTTTTTTTTTTGGAATGTGGTTGACAGCGTTGGTGCACGTGACATTTATTTAATCTATTTTATCTTTATCTGAAGGAAGGCTCGAGCACTTTGCCTTGAAGCCAGAGTAAGTTACCCGCAAGGAAAACTAATAAAGAAATACTTCAAATAAGTCACTTGGTCTAACTTTTTGTGTTATCCTAGGTAATTTACACATATTTTACCAGGTATGATAATTGTACTTATGTGAACCCATACTTAAAAAATCTTATATATGTGGTGTGAGGAAGATGCACGTATACTCTCATTCAGTTTACTGACTGACCTTGGTTTGTGTTATTGTTGATTGACTTGGTGAGGTCTTCTCAAGGGTATACCTGGGAAGTATATCAGGTTTGTCAGAGGGAATCAGGACAGGGTTTTCATAACATGGCGTTTTTAGTAGAACCCAAAGCTGGAGTTTTGGTTATCTAACCGAGGCCTTAGCCAATAGCCAGCAGGTATACCTTTAATCATATAAAAAAAGTGTAGAAACATCCACTGCATATTTTTACTGGAAGAGAGAGAGAGAGAGAGGAGAGAGAGAAAAGATTCTGTCTTTTCAGGCTGAGCTTCAACACAGGAGGGATGTGGGTGGCCTTTATGTTAATGTTACATGGCCAATATTGTCAAAGAGTACCCACACTTGGATCACTTAGAGGACAGCGTGATATGTGATGAAACATGCTTCTTATAACCACAAGACGGGCAGGAAAGCAGCAACTTCACTAATGGCTGTACCCTTCTCCAGAACATCACTATCTAAGATCATTCACCCCAGGTGACTCGATTATGTTAACACATTGTACTCGCATTTTGATGTCACGAGATAAGTCAGTTATCAAAAGAAAAGGCTGGCCACAGATGGCTCCAATTTCATCTGTTTCCTACTTGTATGTCTCATATACAATTTTAAAAATTTGCTTTTCAAATGAGCTGATGTTGGTAAAAGCTCTTAGCTGTCTATAAAGTTAGGGGAATCCTTAACCCTAACCTTGTCAATCCCGGTAGTTAATAGAGAGAGGTAGAGAGACGCGGAGGACGGAGAGAGAAGAGGATGAGAGGAAGAGAGAAGAGTGAGGAGAGAGAGATGTATGAGGAGGGAGTTGACGAGAGAGGAGAGGAGAGGAGAGTGAGGGAGAGAGAGAGAGAGGGAGGAAAGAGAAGAGAGAGAGGAGTGAGAGAGAGAGAAAGACTTCTCTAGTCGTAGATTACTTCATTGCCACAACCACCCAAAAATTATTATTGTTATTATTATTATTATTATTTTTATTATTATTATTATTATTATTATTATTTATTATTATTATTATTACTATTATTATTATTATTATTGACTAGTTAGAAGACAAAAGCTGTTGTTGACCCTGCGGGTTTAGCTCTCCCCTTTCTGAAAATAATTTTGTAGTGTGAAAATGGGGTTGTGTGTGAGTGTGGGGTTGTGTTGAGTGTGAGGGTTGAGTGGAGTGTGAGGGTTGTGTGTGAGGGTTTTAGTGTGGTGTGAGGGTTGTAGTGTGGAGTGAGGGTTTAGTGGAGTGTGAGGGTTGTGTGTGAGTGTGAGGGTTTTTAGTGTGGGGTTGTAGTGTGAGGTGAGGGTTGTTAGAGTGTGAGGGTTTTGTGTGGGAGTGAGGGTTGTGGGTTTTGAGTGTGGGGTTGTGTTTGAGAGTGAGGGTTGTAGTGCGAGTGTGAGGGTTGTTTGTGTGAGTGTGAGGGTTGTAGTGTGAGTGGAGGGTTGTGTGTAAGTGAGGATTGTAGTGGGTGTGGGGTTTAGTGTGAGAATGAGGGCTGTTGGTGAGAGTAAGGGGGTTTTGTGCGATGTGAGGGTTTTAGTGTTTAGAATGAGGGCTGTGTGTGAGAGTGGGGTTGTATGTGGTGTGGGGTTGTAGTGTGGGTGAGGGTTGTAGTGTGAGGTTGTGTGTAGAGTGAGGGTTGTTGTGGAGGGGTGGGGTTTTAGTGTGAGTGTTTAGGGTTGTAGTGTGGAGTGAGGATTGTAGTGTGAGTTGAGGTTTTGTAGTGTGGAATGAGGGCTGAGTGTGAAGTGAGGGTTGAGATGTGAGTGGAGGGTTGTGTGTTTAGAGTGAGGGGTTTTGTGTGGGATTTTTGTGGGGAGTGAGGGTTGTAGTGTGAGGTGAGGGTTTTTAGTGTGGTGTGAGGGTTGTGTGTGAGAGTGAGGGGTTTTAGTGTGGGTGAGGGCGTAGTGTGGTGAGGGTTGTAATTGGGGAGTGAGGGCTGTAGTGTGGGTGGGGCTATAGTGTGGTGTGAGGGTTGTAGGTGGTGTGAGGGTATAGTCGAGGTGTGGGGTTGTAGTGTGAGAGTGAGGGTTGTAGTGTGAGTGTGAGGGTTTTAATGTGAGAGTGAGGGTTTTAGTGTGGTGTGAGGGTTGTAGGGGGGTGAGGGGGGGTTTA